TGCTCCGAGCCAGCAACAGCAGCACAAGCACTCAGACGTGTTAGATATACGAGCAAAACCATTTTTGTGTGACTGGGAATAATGTAATGCTTGTATGATGTGTAAAGGAGCCAACCAGAAGCCAGCTCTGATGTGAGCCAAGCTTAAGGCAGGCTCTGGTGTGTTAAGGAACCTACCCCAAAGTGGCCCCGATATATTAATGACTCAGCCCTAAGCTATGAGCCCTGATAGTGCAAAGTTAATGCCTACTGGGACAATACAAAAAAAATAACAACAGAAAAAAACCTGGCATTTTGCAGGCTGCCCCAGGCTCATACTGCTCTGCTCCCAAGACACAGCACCTCCAGCCTCTGTGCCAAACCCCATCAGCAAAGGGCCTTTGAGACTGGCCGTGGGGTGACTTTGGCTCCAGCGATCATTGAGTTTTTCTGGCACCGTTCTTGAGTTCACACATACCACTGGCTGATGCTCTCAAGGACCTTCTGGAACTCCCAACAGTGTCATCCTCTTGGCTTGCCACAGCTGAAGAACTGAGTTTGCTCCCTAAGTGCTCTCCTGAGAGAGGATTCCCCAGCGAAGCCTGCAGCCCTTCCTGCCCTGGGTTCCCTCTTGGTGAGATGTCTGTTTACAAATGAGACTGCCATAATCTTTATAATAGCATGATATTGTAAGAAATGTCTGTGTGAATAAACCGAGCATATTTGAAAGGCAAATCTTGTGGGGCGTTCCTAATTGCTGAACACCTCACAACTGGCTGGCCATGCTCCTCACAGTACCCTTTGCTCATGTGGCTCATAGCGGGGGCAAAACCTCTTACAGCTTAGTAGGAAAAAAATTTCACTAATTAAATGTATTTTCCCTTCATTTTGTATTAGGGCCTTTTAAAAACACTATATTGAACTTCAAATGAAGGAAAAGAGTACATTTTATTTTGGCCTATTTCTTTCTCTTCATCTTTTCCAGTTGACCACCCAGCCAAAACCAGTCTTCCGAGAGCTCATAACTGCTCTTACAGAGGACCTGAGTTCAGTTCCTATTATTCATGTTTGGCCATGGACAACTTCCAGTCTATCTCCAGCTCCAGGGCCTCTGGTGCCCCCTTCTGGCCTCCTTGGGCACCCACACTCACATGCATCTATACACACACACTTACAAAATGAAATTAAAGAAAACAAGTATACATGTTAAGCTATAAAAACATGGCTTCTTGTTGGTTTTAAGCTCCAAAAAACCTTGAAAAGTGGCTTTCCCAGTTAAAGCTGCAGACCCTGTGAATAGTGAGTGCATCACAGTAGTCAAAGTATTGGGAGCTACCTAGACACCCCAAATTGGGGCAAATCTAACCCAAACATGAAATGTCCATATGGTGTAGTGTTATAAAATAATTAAATGTAATTTACTGTTATGGGTTTTACTTATTTAAAATAAGAGAAAATCTTAATTAAAGTTAATAGGCTAGTGGTGACTCATGCTTCTAATCCCAGTCCTTGGGAGGCAGAGACAGGTGGTTCTTTGTGAGTTCAAGGCCAGCCTGGTCCACAGAGCAAGTTCCAGGACAGCCAGGTTTACACAGATAAACACTGTCTTGAAAAACAAAACAAAACAAAGAAAAAAATTTATAGTTAAGTTAATGTTTAGGATGCAAATTATTATATAGATTATGCCATATTCAGTTGTCTTTTGGCATTATAAAGACTAGCAGGAAGATTGAAACATTACATCTAACAGAAAGCTCCTTCAACAGAAAGGTAAACAACTCAAAATAGCTTCAGGAAATCCCTAAAACTGGCCAGATTGACTAGGGCCCTCCCTGTTAGAGTAAGCAATAAAAGCTGATAGTCCCTCCAATACCAAACCAGCTGCCTGGAAGAAGTAGAAACCAGCTGAGCTGCCTGGAAGAGGTGTAGACCAGAGTCACTTGGAAAGGACACTCTCCAACCTTTTGCGCTGCTTGCAGTCTGTGCAGTGTTCTCCAGGTTTCCCAGCTTTTGTGAGTTATCACCCATGCTGGGGTGGGTTTGGTGATGCAGCTGTCTGTGAGTCATTTTTACTCCTGTAAATAACCCCTTAATCACATTCCTACAAGTAACTCCAATAAAACTTATTGGTTCACCAAACTAAACTTTGATGGTATCCCTAACTTAGGTCTGTCATGGGGATCCCTATCTGGGGTGAATAAATGTGTGTATGTGTGTGTAGTGTCTCCCCAGCGAAATTTTTTCCACACACACACACACACACACACACACACACAGAAAAGAGAGAGAGAGAGAGAGAGAGAGAGAGAGAGAGAGAGAGAGAGAGAGAGGATTGAAGAGCTTCTTCCAGTTTTTAGAAGTACTTATCACAGAATATTAAAAGCACTAATATAACTAAAAGCTAAAACAGTTCTGCAGTCTTCTCTGGGTGTTTAGTTTGTTTGCTGTGTTCATGAAACTCAAGTAAATGAGGCTGTTTTCCCTCCTTTTACCTCAGTAATTGTGCAGCAGAGGAGAAAGTGACAGATGTGACACTTGGGCTTTTTTTTCCCATGCAGTGAGCCTGGTCCTTCTGAAATCCAACCTGGAATCATGTAAGTACAAATGAATAATCTGTTTCATGGAAGGAACAGCATTTTGAGTGAGGTTTAACATCCATGCAGCACTGTACTTGATGAATTGGAAAGACAGTTGATACTCAGATTACTATCATCTCAGAGAGAAAGCCTATAAGCCATGACGAGGATGTTAAGATATGGCCTAAAAAGCAAGGAGAGAGCTGGGCAGTAGTGGTACACACCTTTAATCCTAGCACTCGGGATGCAGAAGCAGGTGGATCTCTGTGAATTTGAGACCAGCCTGGTCTACAGAGTGAGTTCCAGGACAGTCAGAGCTATACAGAGAAACTCTATGTGGTAGTTTGAATGTAATTGCCCCCAATAATCTCATAGGGAGTGGCACTATTAAGAGATATGACATTGTTGAAGTGGGTATGGCCTTGTTAAAGAAAGTGTGTCACTGTGGGGTTGGGCTTTGATGTTTCTTATGCTCAGGATACTGCCCAGCGTCTCAGTTGACTTCCTGTTGACTGCAAGATGTAGGAGTCTCAGCTACTCCTCCAGCACCATATCTGCTGCATGCTGCCATACTCCATGATGTTAATGGACTGTAAGCAAGCCCCCGCTGAGTGTATTCCTTATAAGAATTACCGTGGTCTTGGTAATTCTTCACAGCAATAGAAAAACCTAATTAAGACAAAAAAAAATGGCAAACCGAGAGCCCCTGGACATGTTAAGAAACTGCCATCAAGAAATCTTAAGGATTGGAGACTGACATTCTTATAAAATATGATTTCAGTCAAAGTTTATGCAGAATGTCTCATTCTTAAAAACGTACCATCTCACCGTGGTTAGCGAATCAGGATAATAAAAGCGAACCTGTTAAAATAGGTTCAAAACACCCTTCTGAATCCAAAGCAACAGAACACTTGATGTCATGGTATTTATGTCCACAGTAAGCCTTTAAATGGCTTTATAAAAATAACACTTTATTTTACAGTTATGAAGGAAAGGAAATCTTATTAACAACATTCTAAAATCTAAGTAGGAGAGGTGTGGCCAACATTGACATGTCACTTCACTTTATAAAACTTCATTAAGGTCTCGGTAAGACTGAGGGGGTCCTCAATACATTCAGTATTTTCTTCAATCATGACTATTCAGCAAGGACACACACACAAATAGACCAGACTTTAACATGAAAATGAGCGTCTCCATTGTGAATGAAGACTGCTTTTAAGCTTATGGCTTCAGTGTCTTTCAGCATAATTATGTCCTTTGAAAAGATCCAAGGACTCTCTTCCCTGGTTGATTGGAAAACTTCAGGAGTACATGCTGGAGTTGCTATCTTCTCTTTACCTCTGAGACTGTCTCCCCGCTCCCCTCCCCAAACACACACTGTGACTCAGAGACTATTTGAAGGGGACACCTGTTTTGAATGGATCCACAGGAAATACCTATGTGATCTTCTCATAACCGGACCCTTTATCTGGTTGGCTGAAACTATGCTGCCCACAGACTGTTGCAACTTTCCTGTGACAACACTTACTGGAAAGCTGAGGGAATCAACTTTAGATTTACTTTCCTCCCATTGATCGCTGGTACTGTAGTATAAGGGGGAAATGTCGAAGTGCAAAAGGAATTTTAACTCCGTAAGATTGTGTTAAATCACACATGCGTGGGTGAGATTTACATCCTCCGGGTGGTTTGGCTTTAAAACGGAATGCAGTCTCGTAGCAGTAATGGCAATCGTCATAGATTTCTATTTATAAAAGTTGTCTTGGTCACTGAAATGGCTCAACTGGTAAAAGCGCTTACTGTCAAGCCTCATGACCTGAGTTCGATAGTGGGGACCCACGTTGTGGAATGAGAGAATACTCACACCGGCTGTACTCTGGCCTCCACACTTGTCCTGTGGTACATGTACACACACACACACACACACACACACACCAGCTCACGCGCGCGTAATAAAAAGTTTTAAAAGAACTTGTTCAAAGCTCACGTTTAATCTTCTGTTACATAGTGACAAAGTTAATACAGCCTCGTGGAATTTATAAGGGGTTTCACAGTCGTAAATGCTGATCAACTTTAAACCTTTAACTGACTCCTAGGTAATAAGCGTCACTGGAAGGGCGGCTGTGTGTGGCTTTACACGCACTGACCCCAGCGGGTGCGGTGGCAGCGTGCATCTCCCGGACCACCTTGGATGCTGACCCCCCGGGATGCTGGTCCTCCTTCGCCCGGGCAGTGCTCCCGCTAGGCAGCCCGGCAGCAGACTTCGAGGACCGCCTAGGGGGCGCCCGGCCCGGGCCGCGAACGCAGCTGCAGAATGACGCAGATGACGCCAGAGATGACACCAGGCCGCCGGCCGGCGTCGGCCGCACTCCCGCCCCGCCCGCGCAGGTCGCCGGTGCGCTCGCTCGCAGCCGCGTCCGTCCCCGGGGACGCGCCCCGCCTCCTGCGCTCCGCCCCCTCGCCGCGCCGCGCCCCGGTTCCCACGGCGCCCGGCACGGCGAACCAGCCCGCCCGCCCAGCAAGCAGCCCCGCCGGGCCAGGCCGCACGCGAACATGGCGCTTGTCCCCTGCCAGGTGCTGCGGGTGGCCATCCTGCTGTCCTATTGCTCCATTCTGTGCAACTACAAGGCCATCGAAATGCCCTCCCATCAGACCTACGGGGGGAGCTGGAAGTTCCTGACCTTCATTGATCTGGTAAGGCCATAGGCTATCCTGTTTCAACGCCCCCCCACCCCCCACATCCAGCCTGCACCGCCCACACACCCCCGTGTGAGTGTGTGTGTGTGTGTGTGTGTGTGTGTGTGTGTGTGTGTGTGTGTGTGTATGACACACAAGCACCAGCGTGTGTGTGCTGTGGCTGGGCTTCCACAAAGGCCTGGATGCCCCTCTCACCTTTACCTGGTAGGTAGGGGAGGTTAAAAAGATGGGGAGCACAGGCAAATGGGCACAGCTCTGCCTCTAAGAAGTGACATGGGAAGCCACCAAAAGCGTCTGTCAGCCTTGGTCATGAGTGTCTTCAGGTTCATTCTCCACCGAAGTGCTTTCCAGAGCCACCTGCCAAGGTAAACTTGGAGTACTCATGCAGGAAACGGAGTATTGTCTGGTTTCTTGGAGCATGGCTGAGAAGCGCCGGAACCCCTCCATCGGAGAGAGAGAAATCACACAATAAAACCTTCTTTGCACGCGCTTTTCTGCCCACGGTCAACAATTTGTTTCTAACCTTTCCACTAGAAACACAGAACAGTTCATGGTGGGGCTCGACCTGACCTGCACAGAACGTCCAGTCTTCCACAGTGAAAGTTTGGAGTTTGCACAATCATCCCTTCTGCTGACACATGATACTTTTAAACAGGTGCAGGAGACTATAATTATTATTTTAAAGTTTTCCTACTTTGGGTACTGAAAGTACTCTTGCAGAAAATCAGAGGGTGGACACATGCCCAGTCATGACATGAAGTAGACTTGGAACTTCTGAGTGAAAAGTCACCAAGACCAAGTTAAAAGGTTACCAAACATGGGCAGTGTGTGGAAACAAAAGCAGTTTAAAAAACCACAGAGAAACTTATACAACCAACTCCTGGAATGCTAGGACTGTCTGAGATTATACATAAAGTTGCCACATCCACAAAGTTGGCACGGATTTTGTTGACCTCCCATTGTGTCAAATTTGAACCTATTTGAGGATCTTTCCAGAGGTCAATAATGCCTATAGAAACGTAGCTAGATGCTTTCAAAAGACCTTCTGTTTGCATTATGTAAGATATACTTCCCTTTCCCCAGCTGCCTTTAGGCACAAGACTGCCCAGTGTTGCCTGAGTTGGGATTTTCAACTCCTTCTTGGAATTAACTTCGCTCTGCACATATAAATTCCCTGCCAGTGTTCCTGTTTTCCAACTGTTTGTCCACACGGGGAGCACGCGATGGGACTTTGCTCTCAGTTCCTTGTGACTTTCAGGTGCATGGTTATGAACTGGATTGCCTTCCTGGGTGAGCTGATTGGCTAGTCGTCAGTGGAGACTGGCTTTACCAGACATGCAGTACAGCAGATGATTGCAGAGTCAGAGTCAGGCCCTGATAGTTTTGTACAGACAGACTTTAGAGCATGTACAGGTTACCAGGAATCGTACCTCTTCTTTTTTTTTTTTTTGTTTTTTTTTTTTGGTTTTTCGAGACAGGGTTTCTCTGTGTAGCTTTGCGCCTCTCCTGGAACTCACTCGGTAGCCCAGGCTGGCCTCGAACTCACAGAGATCCGCCTGGCTCTGCCTCCCGAGTGCTGGGATTAAAGGCGTGCGCCACCACCGCCCGGCTTCGTACCTCTTCTTAAGGGTGTTTGAATTTAAGTTCACGATGCTCACATGCCTTTAAAAAATATGTTGCGTAGATTTTCAGAGTCCTGTACAGTTAAGGCCTTCTCTCGCTCCTGGGTCACTTCTTCCCTTGAGTTGGCCCGTTTGAGGACTGCCACAGATGGAGCCATGGTTTTTATGAATTCTGTTCTGCGATGCTTTTGCCTCGCATGGTTCTGGTGCGGGGAACAGAGACACAGGTGATTGGGTGAGAGGAGTAGGAACTGGGGGTGCTGGTTAACCCAAGACGGGGTCACTGCTTTACACATTGGCATTGCTTATGATGAGTTAGAAACCAAGGCTCACAAGAAACAAATGTCTCCCTCCTGTTAACCTCCATGTGACTTGAAAGAGTAGTAGAGTCCGTTTGATAGGCTGCCACCCCCTTTCTATTTTTGTATTCAATGGGTGGACTTGTTTATTTTTAATAGCACTTAATTATACAGGTTTTTTTTTGTAGTCTAGTATTAAAGTAAGGTTTAAAACTTCATTTCACATTTATGTTTTAGCCCTCTGTTTATCTAGAGCCTTAATCCAATCACTCAAACTTGTCCCATTCTGTGGCTACTGATTGAAATAAAATAATTACCCTTAACCAATAGTTCCTAGGAGAAACTACATCTAAAATATATTCCCCAAAGCAGGCAGAGTGTTATTCTTCTATTAGAGGCTTAGAGTCCTTGGAGCATTGTACAGCTATTCAAACAGCCAACCTGTCAGACCCCCGTGATGGCATGAAAAACAGAATCCTAATGAAAATTACCATTTAATTTTACATTCGTGTGTGTGTGTGTGTGTGTGTGTGTGTGTGTGTGTGTGTGTGTGTGTGTGTGTTTAAATGACAGTGAATAAACTTTATTTCTTAGCATCTTGGGCAATTTTCGTGATTCTACTCAATTTTCAAAGAGGGCAATTGACTTTCACAATTTTATTGAGAAAGTCTCATTTCTGGCCAATTTGGATTGGATTGCAGCGAAGCCTCTAACCCCGACAGCCACAGTTGATGGATTCTAGTTCTGCAGCATCAGTTTCCTCGAACAGGAGTCAGGAAACAAGGGCTCCCATATCCAGGTGCAGACGGTTATGTGGTGGTGACTCTCCTGGCCTCATCCAAATCTTTCTTTGGGTAGGAGAGTCATTCCAGTAGATTCAGAGCCTGTGATCAAGAGTCAAAACACAGCTTCTTGCTACTGGTAGTCATAGGTTATCCTTGCTGGAGAGTTGCATTTCTTAGTGTGGAAAGACTATAAGAGAACTAGAGTTGTTTTTTTTTTTTTTTTTTTTTGGTTTTTCGAGACAGGGTTTCTCTGTGTAGCTTTGCGCCTCTCCTGGAACTCACTTGGTAGCCCAGGCTGGCCTCGAACTCACAGAGATCCGTCTGCCTCTGCCTCCCGAGTGCTGGGATTAAAGGCGTGCGCCACCACCGCCCGGCGAGAACTAGAGTTTTATTGGAGAATTCAGGTTAGTAAGTGGAAAACGACCACCTTGACGTGGTAGGGAGAATCATGGGACCTGAAGATTTCCACCTCTTAAAGCCTCGACTCGATGACTATGTTAAATTACCCGACAAGAGGGGAATTAAGGCCGCTTAACCACTGACCTTCATTTTTCTGGAATATGCAGAATGATTAACTGGGCTCTGTGTACTCATCAGCCTCCTTAAAAGCAGAATGACCAAAGAGGGGAAGATTCAAAATGACGAAGAGGAAGATGTGACCTTTGAAGTAAGGGACGGAGTGGCAACTTCGTCTCCCTTACAAAGGGTGCAGGAGACCCTCAGGCCAGGAAGGGGCAAGTAATTGGATTTCCCGCTAGCATTTCGTGAGGGTGTACAGGTTTGCTGACATCTGAGTTTTAGCTCAGTGAAACCTGTTTTGGAAAATCTGACCTCCACAGCTGTACGATAACAAGCTTATGTAGTTTAGGCCACTAAAATGTTGGTAGCCTGTCCTAGCAGCAATAGAAAAATAATATTCTTGGCTAGAAAGCCTCTAGTTTAGAGGAAGCATCCTCACAGCTGAATGCAGTGATTTAGCTAGTCCTTTATGCATATTAGACCATTGTTTAATTTTGGATTGTATGGAAACATATGATTTTACCTGCTTCATCATGCGGAGTATTCATATGTATGACATCAGGCAGTGGGAAATTAAAGACCAAAGAACATGGAAGAGTAGGCCTTTTCTTTGCTGTGAACTCTCTCAGAAACTATTGCTATATTAACACACAGAGCCAGAAGGACTACTCTTAATTGTAAACGTGCCAGAAAAAATTAAACAAATTGTTTGGATATCCTGTTAGTGTTATTACTGATGAATTTTCTTCAGATGATTTGGATTCCTGCCTATATTCACTAACTGCACGGTTCTTCTTCAGCTTGCATAGTAATTATTCCCAAAGATAATTAAAACAAAGAGTTAGACTAAAAGCAGCCTAAATTAAACAAAAGGCAACTCTGTTGTATAAGCCCTCGTGGTAGTGCTTGGAGCCATGAGTTCTAAGTAAGTGTCTGAATAGTGGAAATGATCTCTTTCCAAATAGTTAATGAGTATCCATTTCTTGTCCTCCCTCTCGCCAAAACATCAAAGTCAATTTTAAAGTGTTTTGACTCACTCAAACATTATTTAGATGTGTGCAGTAGAATGTCTAATAATGGCAGCAGAATCCACTTCCTTGAAAACATGAACTGGATATTTATTATTGAAATTTAGTAATGATGTTGAAGTTCCTAAAAGAAAAACCAAAAAAACGAGGTCTGGTATTCTCATCCACTATGGTTTTGTTACTTACCATTCTGAGAGTTCTCATTTCTCAGGGCAGTGTTTTGTTCATCACTTTCATACTGACTTTTTGTTCGAGCATCAGCAGAAAGCTTTCTTTCATCCCCCGTGCTCAAAGTGTGAGCTAAGATCTGCATGACCAGCTTGCTCCAGGTGCCACTCTGTAACTCACATATTTTGTTTTAGCAGTTTTTCCTTGGCTGTGACAAAATACCCCTAAAGAGGGAACTGAAGGGACTAACAGTTTAATTTGGAATAGAGTGTGAGAGAGAAGATATAGTCCATCATGAAGGGGAAGGCATGTTGGCAGGAGTGTGAGGTAGAGGGTCACATGTCTTCTGACATCAGGAAGCAGAGACTGGAGCTGGGCAGCAAGACTTCAAGGCTCACTCATTTCCTCTAAGGAGGCTCCACCTCCTGAAGTTTCTAGAACCTTCCAAAGCATGATCAATTGGTGGGGACCACGTGCTCAAACATGTGAGCCTATGGGAAACATTCCACATTCAAACCTCAATACTTCTCAGCCAGAATTCGCATTCTAATAAAGTCATCCGTTGATGCCTGCCCA